CTGCAACCAGCAAACAGGGTGCTAAGGGTCGGACGATGGGGCCCCACCGTCACATCAGTACCTAGGTTCAGCCAATGAGAAGGTGGGTCTGGCAATTGTGGAGGTAGCGTGGTCACCACTCACGTTTCCACCCTTGTCATTTCCATTCTAGAGCTGGTTGAACACGGTTGTCCATTCTGTCTCCAGGCTGTGTCTTTGCCTCTTGATTTACTGAGTGGTACACATTTCCAACTGTACATAGTATACATACTTGTAAATACTTACAACTGCACTTGAAGGAAAATATAATTCAAAGTCATTCAGCTGTCTTTGTTCTACTCCTTGCTCCCCTTTACACCCAGGATAACAGGCCTTATTGTTCCTGGGTTGTAATATGGGTAGCCTGTCTGAGAGCTGGAGCTGGACTTAGAGCAGGAGTTGAGCCTAGAGTTGAAGCTGAAGCAGGAACATTGTATAGCTTGCTGTCTGGCATTGCATCAGCTCTGCCAACACTTTACAAAACTTTGCGTATCAGCTTTGCCTTTTTCTCTCTATATGGTCAGCCTGCTATTTTGTGATCGTTGATAGCTTACTATTTTGGCGTGTTAATTGTGCTCACTTTGCTATGGTCAATCTTGCTGTTGGCATATTGCTCGATCTATTGGCATTGATTATCAAAGAACTCTAACTGCGGCACAATTTCATAATCTTATTTGCAGTAAATTAAAGACAGAAGCAGACATGGTGCACCAGCTTGACATGTCCCCAGCTACAGGAGCTATTAATAGATCTCCACTTAGGTTTCTGTAGAATGGTGGAGATACACCTGAGCAAAACCAGCAGCCTGGTGAAGCAAGAGGTGTGTCGAGTTTGGCTCAGGGTGAGTCTGCTTCATTGGCAGTCGAGTTAGCCAGACTCAATCTTGAACAAACTAAAGAGCAGCGTGCTTTTGCTAGGGAGGAATTTGATAGAGAGAGGAGAGGAGGCAATTCAAACAGACTATAGAAGAAACCATACGATGGGTAGGGTTTGAACCCGCGGTCAAGAGTCTCAAAACTCCAGACCGTTGCGTTAGCCACTGGGCCAGCTAGCTTCAATAAGATTTATCCAACTAGGTATATTTCTACACCATAGGAAGATTAGCATAGGCACCACTGTGACCACAAATGCAAGTTTTTAAAGACGAATCTCCCGCTAGCATGGCAGTGACAAACTCTAGCTCAAGTCCCCTCAAAGCTATCAACATGACTTGCATTTGTGGTCACAGTGGTGCCTATGCTAATCTTCCTATGGTGTAGAAATATACCTAGTTGGATGAATCTTATTGAAGCTAGCTGGCCCAGTGGCTAACGCAACGGTCTGGAGTTTAGAGACTCTCTGACCGCGGGTTCAAACCCCATCCGTGGTATGGTTTGTTTGCAATAGTGTCATTACGATTTTGTGAGTCATAGAGACTATAGAAGACTTTAGTTTACAAAGGGCAGTACAGTTTGTTCCTCGTTTCCTTGAAGCCGAACCGGGAACAGTTTTTCGAAGCTTTCGAAAACCAAGCTCGAGCCTTGGGGTGGCCCGAACAGCATTGGGCGTCATAGGTTCACACATCGTTGTTTGGAAAGGCACAAGATTTTACATCAGTGTTAAATGACACTGAATTTAGCAACTATCAGGTGGTGAAATCCACAGTTCTTAATCCATATCAATGTGTTCCTGCCAAGTACAGAAAGGCTTTTAAAGTCAGTAATCGACAACTGGATCAGTCTTATGTTGACTTTGTAAGGCAACAGGCCAAAATATTTACCCAGTGGTACAAAGCCAGTAGGGTCACTAACTTTGTGGAGTTAGTCCAACTCATACTGGTGGATAACCTGCTGGAGTCTGTTGGACTAGAGGTTAGAGTCTGCAGGATCATGTGTTGACCACTGTATTTGTGTATACCTGAATAAACTTACTTACTTACACTGCATTGGAGGCAGCCAGGTTGGCTGATACTTTTGAAACTAACCGCTCCTTGTCCGAGCGGTCCCACCTCTCTTTTCAACAGCCTGGCATGAGCAGAGACCGTCAACGAAAAGTTCCCGAGTGGAGAATGAAGTGCCAGCAGGAAGAAGAATGACGATGTCAGCCAACTAAGTCACTTGGTGAGCCATGCTACTCAACTAATGGTCAACCTGGTGAGCGACAAACCACTCAACATGGTGTATCCTGACAACAGTACCCAGAGAGAGACCAGTCACAACGTCAAGCCTGTCCTTTGCTTTTGTTATAAATCAGGCCACATTTGCCCAAACTGTCCAAATAAACCCCAACCATTAGGGAAAATTTATACTGTCCCTAGTAACATGTCCCTGAAAGAAGTAGAGAAAGGGATGGCCCCTTATTATTGTACGAGTCAAATATCCCTTCAGGAAAACTACAAGAAAACTGAAATCAGAACCTTTAGAGATACTGGAGCATACTGCTCACTTATAAGAGAGGGAGTACTTCCCCTTTCGGAACATACTGCATTATAATCCTCTGTCCTGTTAGAAGCTTTTGGAGGAGCAATTTTTTCTCTCCCCTTGCATAAAATATACAGTGCAGATGTATTACACTGGATATTTGACTAAGTGTATCTGATGGACTTCCTATGAAAGATGCCATGTTACACAAATAACCCGCACATACAAGAGAGAAGCTTACGACGACGTTTCGGTCCGATTTGGACCATTGACAAAGTCACACTAACAGAGGTGGAGCAGGATGGCTATATAGGCAGCGGCGGCGGCAGCGGCAGCAGCAACAGCAGCAGCAGCAGAAGAAGTAGTAGTAGTAGTAGTAGTACTAGTAGTAGTAGTAGTAGTACTACTAGTAGTACTAGTAGTAGTAGTACTAGTAGTAGTAGTACTAGTAGTAGTACTAGTAGTAGTAGTAGTAGTAGTACTAGTAGTACTAGTACTAGTAGTACTAGTACTAGTAGTACTAGTACTACTACTACTACTACTAGTTGTAGTAGTAGTAGTAGTAGTACAAGAATTGTATATAATACCGACAAGATGAAATTAAGACACATGCACAACACCCGGGCATCCCCATCGTAGACGGGTGTTGTGCATGTGTCTTAATTTCATCTTGTCGGTATTATATACAATTCTTGTACTATTACTACTACTACTACTACTACCTCCACCTCTTCCTGCCTATATATAGCCGTCCTGCTCCACCTCTGTTAGTGTGACTTTGTCAATGGTCCAAGTCGGACCGAAACGTCGTCGTAAGCTTCTCTCTTTTATGTGCGGGTTATTTGTGTATCGTTCCAGTCACGGTATTGTGCCTTTTTGTTATTTATTTATTTATTTATAGATGCCATGTTATTACTGGGTAATAACATTACCACTTCTAGTGTGTCTCCCGAACCAATAATGATTAACCCTTTGACTGTTTCGGTCATATATATACGTCTTACGAGCCAATGTGTTTGACACATATATACTCAAAAATTCTGGTGGCTACAAATAAAGCAGGAGAAAGCAGTAGGCCCACATGTGAGAGAATGGGTCTGTGTGGTCAGCGTGCACCATATAAAAAAAAATCCTGCAGCACGCAGTGCATAATGAGAAAAAAAAAAAAACTCAGAGTTCTTGGATTAAAATGCCGACTTGGTGGTATATTTTTGTAGTATAGTATTTATGGTTGTACTCTCATTTGATAGAATTGAAAACATATTATAGAAATAGAGTTGACTTTGATTGGTTTTACTATGAAAAGGACCTTGAAATGGAGCTCAATGTAAGGTAAATGTTCAATTTTTGCCGATGTTCAAGAGTAAACAAATGATGTCAATGTCCAATAAATGTCCAAAAAGCCATTCTAATATGCAGTCATGAATGGGTTGACATTATTTATACAATTACAATATTGCAGTAGTCTGCATAACAGTAAATTTTGTATTTTTTGTTTGAATAAAAATTCAAAACAGAAAGCAAGAGTAATATAAGAGAGGCCTGGAGACATGACTGATGAACAAAGAAAATGTTATTTTAGAGCCAGGAATGTCTGCATTGTTCACTCTGGACCCTATTTTGAAATTGGCATATTTTTTTAATTTGCATGAAATTGGCCAAATTGCAAATTTCTGACCACACTATTGGGTAGCTGAAATTGGTAAATGGACAGTTTCTTGTACTCAATCAATAGAACAAATGGAGTTCTAAAGAAAAAGCTTTGACTTTGGTCAACCAGAACAATGGAATTAGCCAAAAATAGGGCTCAAAGTGGGGGAAATCGCCGATTCGTAAATATCGCCGAGGTCACTAACTTTGCAAGAGCTTAATTCCATAAGCTTTTCATCAAATTTCATTCTTTTGGTGTCATTAATATCGGGAAAAGATTCTCTATCATTTCATAAGAATTTTTTTTTTTCAAAAATTTTTCGACACCAGGAGACACCTCAGGATTTGGGATTGCGACAGTCAAAGGGTTAATTCTTCTCCAATGTTGGCGATAACTCGGGCAAAAATCCCAAGGGATATCTGGCGAGAATGCTAACCTATCCTTGGACAACACTGATCTCGGAATAGCCAATTTGTTTTACGAGGAAAATTGGCCAGGGCCTCGTAAATTTAGTGAAGTGACCCAGATCAAGCCTTCCTGTTCCAGGGTTGCAGGATTCCCAGATGTCTGTTTCCATGCCCGAGGGACTGTTCTTCCGAGAGGAACAGCGAAAAGACCCTTCACTGAATTTTGCTTTTCAGGCAGCCATGGGTAAATCCTTTTCAGATCACCCGGTCAAATATGAACTTAAAAATGACTATTTCATCTGCACTGAGAATGGTAAGGAGATAGAGGGTAGACAACAAAGTTTAGACCTCAAATATTAAATATAGCTCATAACACTTCATTAGGAGGTCACTTAGGAATTACTAAAACCTTATATAGGATATTAAAAGAATTTTATTGGCCAAAATTAAGACAAGATGTGAAGACTCATATCCACTGTTGCCGAGAATGTCAGCAACTAGGGAAACCTGGACATTCCATTAAACCTGCACCTCTCCAGCCTATACCTGCTGATGGAGAACCTTTTGCAGAGTTAATTATAGACTGTGTAGGTCCACTACCTAAGTCCAAGTCAGGGAATCAGTACTTATTTACCATTATGGATAGAGTAACTAGATACCCAGAAGCAATTCCCATGCACAGTATTAATACTAAAGCAATCCTTAAAGCTTTAACCGAGCTCATCTCTTGCTTTGGCATTCCTAAATCTATTCAAAGTGATCAAGGTACAGTACTAACTTTGCTGCCAAAGCATTTAGGGAAGCATTAACTAGGTTAGATATAAGCCACAACTTATCCACTGCCTATCATCCTCGGTCCCAAGGCACCTTGGAAAGATTCCATCCGATGTTAAAAACCATGTTAAGAACTTTTTGTATGCATTTCCCTACAGACTGGGATGAATCACTACCTTTGTTGCTGTTTTCAGTAAGGGAAAATGTGCAGAAGTCTACCGGGTATAGTCTGTTTGAGCTGATCTTTGGGCACAATGTACAAGGTCCTCTTCGGGTGCTCAAGGAAGGATGGATGGGAGATGTTTGCTCAACACTCCACAACCCTTCTTCAAGGTTGCAGGTGGCATGTCTGTTAGCCAAGGCTAACTTAAAGGCAGCTCAAAACAAGATGAAACAGAGGTATGACAGAAATTCACAGTTTTGCTCCTTCCATCCAGGAGACAAGGTGTAGGCACAGGAACCTATACTTGGCCACACCTTAAAAGCTAGATTTATGGGACCTATGCAAATTGTAAGTAAATTATCTGATGTAAATTATGTGGTGTCTCCTCTTGACAAGACCTCAAAAACTAAAACTTACCACATTAATCAAATTAAAGCATTTAATACACCAGATGAAGTGCCAGTAATGATGACTGTCCTCTGCCTCTGAGGATGACTCTGACTCTTTGCACTCTAATTCTGAAATTAATGTCAAGCTTCCAAATTCTGTCCTCAAGGACCCTAGCCCATTAATGGTGGGGCTATCTAAGACTCGAGTAACAAGTTTAACTGCGCTCCTACAATCTTACCCTGATATCTTTTCGGATGTTCCGAAAAAATGTACATTAGGATATCATGACGTATATGTGGGAAACTTTAGACCTATTAAACTCTCACCCTACAGAGCTAATCCTGAAAAACAGAGGTTACTTCAGAAGGAGGTAGAATTTCTGTTATAGCATGGGTTAGTGGAGGAATCGTCTAGTCCATGGGCTTCACCGTGCATCCTTGTTAAAAAAGCTGATCGAGGTTTTCGAATGTGTACAGATACCGTAAGGTGAACGAGGTCATAATTGCAGATGCTTACCCTCTGCCACGTCTGGATGATGTAATCGACTTTGTGGGTAAGGCTACTTTTGTGTCCAAGTTAGATCTCCTTAAAGGTTACTATCAGGTACCTTTGACGGATAAGAAGAAGGAAATCTCTGCCTTCGCAATTCCAGGTCATTATCAATATGCAGTTACCCCCTTCGGAATGAAAAAAAACTCCCGCTTCATTCCAGAAACTTATCAATCAGACTATTAAAGGACTTGAAGGAACAGCAGCTTACCTAGACGACATAGTTGTTGTGTCTGATACAGTAGGGCCCCGCTTTACGGTGTTTCGCTTTACGGCATTCCGCTAATACGGTCATTTCAAATTATGACCAAAACTCGCTATACGGCTCCCCCCACCTGACTTTCTAATATGGTCACCGTGCCCCACCCGGTTTGTTTACATTCTCTGTGAGATCCGTAAGCACTAAGTCTCCATTATGTCTGGAAACTCCAAAATTTTAAGTGTTTTTAAAAGTTATTTCATATTTTATATATACTCTGATAATTATACTTATGTATACCTGTACTTAAATAAACTTACATACTGTGCTGGCATGCAGGTACACATTAAAATCAGGAAGAGTGTCTCAGGTCTCCAGACGTCATATTAGTAATGATAATAATCACCGAGTCTCATTTAAATGTCGTATATTACGTTAATATACACATTTTCATTAATCCATCTATGATATTTTTTCAAAATTATATAATAAACACAATATATACATATAAATATGATAAATACACCCCACAGTAGAATAAATAAACAAATATGAGATGTGGTAGCAGACGACTTGCACAAGTGACGCCATATTAGAAATTATAATAATAATAATAATAATAATAATAATAATAATAATCACCGAGGCTCATTAAATGTCGTATATTACGTTAATATACACATTTTCATTAATCCATCCATGATATTTTTTTCAAAATTATATAATAAACACGATACATAACATATAAAGATGATAAATACATCCCACAATAGAATAAACAAACAAATATGAGATGTGGTAGCCAGATAACTTGTACAAGTGATGCCAAGAATAACATTTTCTCTATTCTAACATAAGAGAAAATGTGTTACTGGGGGTAACTGTAGGAAATTATACCTTTCGTATGTATGTAAGTTTATTCAGGTATACACAAATACAGTGGACCCCCGGTTAACGATATTTTTTCACTCCAGAAGTATGTTCAGGTGCCAGTACTGACCGAATTTGTTCCCATAGGAATATTGTGAAGTAGATTAGTCCATTTCAGAACCCCAAACATACACATACAAACGCACTTACATAAATACACTTACATAATTGGTCGCATTCGGAGGTAATCGTTATGCGGGGGTCCACTGTACAGTTACATAGATTATCATACATAACAGCATATGTGTAGAGAACCTAGGATAACCCAAAAAAGTCAGACAGAATGACTTATTTCCATTGCCTTCACTCAGAGCGTCATTTCTTCTAAAAATGGTGTTACATGAGAATGGGAGTGTTCTTCTTTGTTTATTCTACCGTATCAATGTAGAGACAACTTGTTCACAATGTAACTTGTACACAAACCAGATGTGTACACTTTGTCTGTTTACAAAACTTACCTTTGCCTGGTTTGTTTACATAACTCTGAGCCTGTCCTCTCTCATGCACTCATTCTTTCTCTCTCTCATTTATTCGTTTTATCTCATTTACTTACTCCTGACCCTACATTAAGACAACAAATATTTTAAGGTAAGTAATGAGTGAACTGTATATACATTTTATCGCTCTGGGATGCTTAAATATCATAGAATAGTATGTGTGGGTGGGTTGGCCTGGTATGGTAGCCCGGCTGACTACCATACATACAACACTTGATTTCTTACAATAAATACTACTCATCTCACCCTAGATTAAGACTACAAATATTTTAAGGTAAGTAATGAGTAAACTGTATATGCATTTTATCACTCTGGGATGCTTAAATGTAATAGAATATTGTGTGTAGGTGGGGTGGCCTGGTATGGTAGCCCGGCTGACTACCATACATACCACACTTGATTTCTTACAATAAATACTGCTTGTCTCACCCTAGATTAAGACTATAAATATTTTAAGGTAAGTAATGAGTGCACTATGTGTGTATTGTACTTTTTTATTGTTTTTTGATGCCCAGTTCTATTGCTAACTTAATGTATGTTATTGTAAACTTGTTATCTAGTATTTGTATGCATTTATAAGTGGAAAAAAAGGGTGTTCCACTTTACGGCGATTTCCGCTTTATGGCGGTAGCCTGGAACCTAACCTGCCGTATAAGTGGGGCCCTACTGTACTTGGGATCAACACATGCTTAGGTTTAACCCTTAAACGGTCCAAACAGATCGACGTTCAAATCCGTAGTGCTCCAAAAGTAGATCTACTTTTTTTTTTTTACATATTTTCAAACAAAAAAAAATGTAGATAAAAGTTTTTTTTACACACTTTCATATGTAAAACAAGAAAGAAGATCTACATTTTTTTACATACTTTCAGATGCTGAAAAAACGTATATATACGTTTGGACCATTTAAGGGTTAAGGCTCTCTGAGACCTTCCAGAGTTTCCACTTAACTATTAATTTGTCCAAGTCTTCCTTTGGCCAGGCTACTGTGACTTTTTTGGGGCCATGAAGTAGGTAGTGGCAAAGTCGCCCCTAAATTTGCTAAAGTTCTTGCCATTAAAAATTATCCAGTACCTCATGATAGGAAATCCCTTCAACGTTTCCTAGGTATGGTAGGATTTTATAGAAGATTCTGTAAAAATTTCTCAGATATTGTAGCCCCTCTAACCTCGCTTACTAGTCACAAAGTTCCCTTTAACTGGACCCCAGAATGTCAAAATGCTTTTACGAAAGCAAAAAGATGACTTTGTGCTGCACCCATTCTTGTGTCTCCACACTTTTCCAAACCTTTTTCATTACAGGTTGATGCTTCTGATTCTGGGGTTGGGACAGTGCTTTTGCAAGCCGGCGACGATGGGTTACAGCCTGTTGCTTACTGTTCAGCCAAGTACCAGCCGCACCAGAGGGCCTACTCTACAATTGAAAAAGAAGCCCTCGCTCTGGTACTAGCTGTGGAGCACTTTGATGTTTATGTGGGCCAGACTTCGCAGGTGGTCACAGTTTATAGTGACCACAACCCTTTGGTGTATCTCCAAGCAATGAAGAACCACAACACGAGACTTAAGAGATGCAGTCTCAGGCTGCAGCTCTATCCAATTAAAATTATGCATATAGCCGGAAAAGAAAATACGCTGGCCGACCTATTATCTAGGTCATAAAATATTTTAGGTTAGGATGAGTTAGGAACCTTAGGTAGAAAAAAGGCTCTTTTTTCCCCCCCCCCCCCTTTTTTTTGTATATACACCTACCATCCGACTTACAACCTGCTCAACTTACGACCACTCGACTTATGACCGTGTTTTTTATGCCAAATTTCTGGGAAATAAACTATTTGTGTTGTACACAGTGTTTATCCCCAACCTTACAGTATAAAATACAGTACTAACAGCATAAAAAGTAAAGTAAAACATGAAATACCAAAATAAAACAATAAAATAAAGTCATTACAAAAATGTTTTGTTGATATTCAGTAGTAAAGTTCGACTTACGACCATTTCGACTAACAACCGGTTTCTCGGAACTGAACTCGGTCGTAAGTCGGACGGTAG